TGTAAATTAAAAAATTTACTAAACATGAAACCCTAAAAATAAAAATTACTCATTTTCAAAATGGCCTTGGTCAAAGTGCTTGAAATTTAAAATAGAGGTAGAGTGCATAAATAGAAGCAATGAGGGATTGATTTTGATGTTTAAAAAATTATTGTCATAAAGTTTTTGTTTGTAGAAAACTTTAAAGGGGCATACGCGTTGATTAAAGGAAAGATTAAAATGTCAAAAGGGAATTTGAGCTCACTACTGCTCACATGAGCTACACGAAAAAAAAAACTTAAGAGTTCAAGTTCCCTCCTAATCAAAGTTAAAAAATTACCTAGGAACACTCTAGGGTGGAAAGCAACCAGCCCCCAAAAAATTAGGAAGAACATCTAATAGACCATAGGAATAATCTTTCCACTTAAAATTTTAGGAACCTGTAAAATAACACTTAAAGGATCTTGCAACATAATAAAAACAACATAAGGGAAAAAGAAGAGGCAAATATATCTTATTCAATTGAAATTCAGTTCATAACTAGCCATGATATTATTAGCAGGAGTATTAAAGTAATGTAAAAAGCAGTGAACCAAATTCAACCCAAGACCAACACTACAGAATGTAAAGCTAAGGCACCCATAAAACAAAATTTTGGAATAGCCAATAGTAATATGGCAACCAAAATGACATATCATACAACAAATAATAGGATTTCAAATAAACATAACCATCCAAATGACCACAAAAATCTTAATCACCTATCTGCCTTGATCAAACAAAGACTTCCGAGCTAAAAAAATAGGTAAACCAAGTGAATGTAGTTAACATATATAATCTAGCTCATTCTAGTAGATTCTAAGCAAACAAGAAACCAAAATAACCGTATATTCTCCTTCAAAGTGCACCCAAAAGAAATATAATTATGCTCGGCCAGAACTTCCATAATACAAAAATTACATATGCAAGTTATCATCAGATAATCAAGCACACAAATAAAATAGTGAGTAAAAAATATATAATGAAATTAACATTCTGCACATTACACCTGTTTAGAAACAGGCTAATAGGATAGCATAAGTGCCAAATCCTAATACAAAAATAAGAGTGGCTAAATTTACCAAACTCAAAAAAATCAAAATATTAATAACATTTAAGACAACCCAAAAATACCACTTCCCATAGCAGTTAAATGTAATCCTATCAAGAAAACCCAAATACCAATCAACAAATAAATTATGGCTCATGCTCATACTACCAAGCAATTGCGATGAAAATAACCCATATGTTGTTTAATTCACTTGGAGAACCAAATAAAATAGTGTAAATTTATATACCACCAAAACACCCATAGATTCTAGAGCCACTGCCACACCAACACATCGTCTAAAAAATAGCAATGTTATAGCTAACCCAAATAAGTTAATTATGAATACAAAACCAATGTTTAAAGAAATTTATCAAAATTAACAAAAAACGTACTATATCAGCCCTAGTTAATTGATGACAATGCTAGATTAGATAAGCATAAAATTGATGCAAGTCACTTTTCCCATATTTATATCTCCCTTTCCCACACAAAAAAGGAGAAGCAAGAGAAGAGCAACAAATAAGACAAGGGCTATAACTCATATATATATATATATATAATTATTGCCAAAAAAAAAACACTATGAGTCTTGAACATCAAACAAAAATTATCAAACTTAACCTTCATATCCAAAACCTGATACACATATTCAAATAAAAAATAACACATAGCCCAAAGCCTAATCCAATAAACACCATAATTATCTTTCAACATAGGGAAGGCCTATCTTGTCAAGCCTAATGATGCCTTTAACATAGGATGTCAGTTGGTTGTAAGAAAATTCAATAAGAAATGGGAGATTAAATACAAGATTCGTAATCCAATCAGCATAAGCGTTTCTTTCTATATGAATATGAGTCAGCTTAACATTAATGATGAAAGAAAGTTGCTTAATTTCCTAATAAATCAGAACTACAATTCTTATCATCACTATCTTTGAAGAAATACAACATGTATAAAACATCAACTTCAATCCAAATATTAACGACAACCAAGGAAAGACAAACTTTCAAACCACATAACACAGCCAAACTTAAGCAAAAATAATAGAGCAACAAGGTTAGGGGCAAGCATAAGTAATAATAAAATTCCTATTAAAATCTCTAATGATGCCACCATAGCCATAAGAGTTTACTTTGAAAGATCCGTCAGTATTAAGCTTGAACATTTTTAAGGAGGTTTAATCCAATAAATCAACTTAGAAATATCAGTATTAGGCTTGTCTTGTAAAGTAATACCAAAGTCTATGGCAACAAAGGAAAAAACCTTTAAAATTCTTATAGTTCAGAAGAGTTACATTAAACAAGCTAGAAATCTTAACTTTAATGTTTATAATAATTTGATCATGATTCATATTAATATTATTAATAAGGGAGTATTCCCTTGCCATCCAGAGGTACCAAAAAAATAAGGGAAGGGATGATGTTAGTAATATGACCTCTCGAGTTAGTAAATCAAAGGTGAAGGACATCCTTGATAGTAATATTACCATTAAAATGATTAAATTTCAATATATTGTATCCAAATATTAGTAGCAATGGACTAGAAGTAAAAAACATGATGCAGATTCTTCACATGGTAACAACATTGACACTTGGAAGCCAAAATGAAACCTCTTTTAATTAAAATATCTTCAATAGAGACATACTTATGTAAGAACCTCCAAATGAAAGTAGTAATAGTAGTAAGAATGATTTTATGCCATATCATGGTAAAGACGTTTGAAGTAGTCTATTTAGTTCTAAAGGTATTTCAAGCACCATTAATTTTGAATATGTCATTACTAGCCATATTACACAACAAAAGATCATCTGCATCAGTATTTATAGGAAATTTTAAGATCTAATTAATGATGGATTCAGGAATAACATGAAAAATTTTGAGATAATACTAACAATTATTCTTAATAAAATAATTTACCTTGATAGCAGTAATGGAAACCAAATAAAGCATATGATCAATAGAAGTTAGACCTAGCTAATGATCCTGCCAAAAGAAAAGACTAGCACAAACAATACCCAAATTAATATAAAGCTCCACTTCCCATTTGATATTACAAAGTCTTTTCCATACTCTAGAGTCCCCCTTATTATAGGAAAAAAATAGTTGGATGTTTGCCAACACAATATTTAGAAGTCATAAACTTTAACCAAAGACTATTGTTAGCATGAAAATTAAAAAAAAAAAATAAAGGAAAATGTATGGGCTAATTAGCCAATACTCTTACACCCCAAAGCACCTTCCTCCAACACACCACTAAAGTTATTCCAAGAATTATATATGATTCTAGAATTATCACTTTTACCTATCTAGAAGAACCTATTGAATATTTTTTCAAGTATGTTATAAACATAAATCTTAGGTTGAATATAACGAAAGATATAGGTAGGTAACGAGCAAGGAACACTCTTGATCAACACCAATCTACCACCAAAGCTAAGAAAATTTAATTCCCAAGAATTAAGCTTATTGTTCATTACAAACAGAAATATTAGGTTGAATATAATGAAAGATATAAATAGGTAAGGAGCAAGGAACACTCTTGATCAACACCAATCTACCACCAAAGCTAAGAAAATTTAATTCCCAAGAATTATGCTTATTCTTCATTGCCATAATAAGATCATCAAAAAGGAAAGATCTTTTGCTACCTTGTAAAAGAGGGACACCCAAGTATTTTAAGGGGAGGAAACCTTGCAAAAAACTAGTGATGTGGTTAATAGAAATAATACGATCAGCAGTTAAAAGCTTAGAGGTGATAAAATAACACTTATTTCTATTATAATTTAATCCACTGACCAATAGAAATTGTTTAAAAAATGGATAAGGATATTAACCATAATTATATAACAATTAGAAAAAAAATATAACATCATCAGCTAAACTTAAATTAGAGATAGGTATACCACCTGAAGTTCTATAATAAAGCTTAGGGTGGTTATCATAAAAGTAGGTAAGACCCCTAAAAAGGTATTCAACAATTTTTTTATGAAAAGAGAATGTGAGATTGGATCTCTTTGTATGAAACCATGGGAAGATTTAAAAAAAAAAAATCTTTTCTCTTATCATTAACAGAAATAGAAAACCAAGAACCTACAATATAGTTTGGAATAAAAATAATAAAATTAGAGTTAAACCCAAATAGTTGTAAGATGTGATACAAAAATTTCTAATTAATATTATCATAAGATTTAGCAATATCTAACTTTAAAATAATATTCCAACTTCTCACTTTGAGGTCCAATTATTGAACAAGCTCTTGATCCAATAAGATGTTATAAGAAATAGCTCTTCCTTTGATAAATCTTGTTTGGAAAGGAGAACTAAATTTATAAAGTAAAGGGGATAGGTGTTTCAAATTTGGGCCTAAGTACTGCAATTTTGATGATAACAAACATTATTATTTCTTTTCTATTAGTATTATTGAATATCTATTTTGTTTTCCTTGCTCAAGTGGGTGAGTTAGTGAGTTAGGAGAAATTGGAATTTTGAACTAATCATACAATATGATGTAAATCATATTAGACAAACATTTATATAGAAAATTTTAATTTTTTTTTGAAAGAAAATGCTAAAATTCATTAAAAAAACAACCAAAAACCAACAAATCAAGTCAAACCGAAAGCATCACATTCCTCCTTCAAGAAATATAAGAAAGAAGGAGGAATAAAAGCATCATAAAGATCTTCCCACAAAAAAGATCTAATTAAAGCAAAATTAGCACAAATATCCACTAATTTGTTGTTGTCCCTATTCGAATGAGAAAAAATAATTTGCTTAAAATCAAGCAAGAAGGCCAAATTATCATCAATTAATCTACTAACCTTCCAATTTTTTACCGCATTTTGAAGCATCTTGATGATATTGAGGTTGTCCCCTTCAATGATCACCCCTTGAGCTCAAACATCCAACTTTAAAACACATTATTCAGCTATAAAATCGCAAGTAATTCCAGATATGATACGTCCCAGTGTAAAGAATGATTTCCAAAAGCAATTAAAAAACGTCCCTTCTCATCTCTGGCAACGCCACCGATCCTAGCCGAATGATTCCTCATAAGAGCTGCATCTATATTAATTTTAATCCATCCGGGAGGAGGAAGATGCCAAGTAGAAAACAACCAAAGTTGGTTAGCATCCCAGTTTTCTGTTTGGATATTTAAAAAGTTACTTCTCACAGCCAACGATATAGCATTAGCAGCAATGTAATTATCTGAATCCTCAACTTTGCCATGTACTAGCTTACACTTGCTCCTCCAAACAAGACTAACCGTGGTACAAAAAATATTTGCTGAAAGAGAATTGTTCCCCACATATGTCTGAAGACCTTCCAAGCATTCATCAAGACTATTAAAAATGGGAACCAGAAAGCCCCAACTATTAAGCAGAGCAATAACCTTCCTGAGCTTCGAACATTTCCCAACTAAATGGCTGCTATCTTCATCTTCTCCACAACCCCTTGGACAACCAGAAAAATTGTTAATTTTCCTTTTCATAAGAAAGGAGTTAGAGGGAATGGCATCAATACAAAGTCTCCACCAAAAAAGTTCAATTTTTGGTTTCAACTTAAGTTTCTTCATCCAATTCCACTCAGCAGTCTCTTCCATATGAACCATAGCATCCTCAAACGCCAAGGCTGTAATAGACTTTCCCGTAAATTTACATTTCAGTTCAATAGTATCAGAAATCCTGTCATTTCTAATAGGAATTTCACAAATAAGGTTCAAAAGCTGTTCACCAATAACAACCCTCAATTTATCCTGATTCCAATGGCCATTAGAAATAAAAGAGCTAAGAAAGATATCAGATTCTTCCTGAATATTGACAAATGTAGGCCACGACACAATACATCTGTCCAAAATCCAGGAGCTTTGCATCCATATGATTGAATTACCATTGGATACTTCCCATCTAACAATATTTTTCAGAAAATTGGCTCCCATAGTGATGATCTTCCAAGTTGAAGAACAACCTTTCTTCATTATTCCTGACCACAAGTCTCCTCCATACTTAGCTCCAAGAATAAGATTTAAAAGAGTATTTGGCTTTGAGTAAAAAATCCAAGCAAATTTGGCACATAAAGGACCAACCTTCATAACTGCTGAAAATAAGCCTCTACTACCTTTATTCTCCGGTCTACAAAGTAGATCCCAAGATGCATAATGCAGGCCAGCTTTACCATCATTTTTACTCCATAAGAACCCTCTACACATCTTATCAAATTCCTTTAAAATACTCAAAGGAACCAACGACAAAGTGGATAAAAATAGAGGAAGAGACAGGAATGATGATTTAATTAAAACCAGTTTACCTTCAAGTGAAATGTTCTTTTTGCCCCAAGTATTCAGTTTGCTAGCCACTGCTTCCAATAAAACCTAAAAGTCTGAAGCCTTCATTCTCCTCATGGTCATCTTTATACCGAGATAGCTGAGTTCCTTCACAACCGTGAAATTGAGCTGTTTAACAACCTTTTCTTGAGTACTCCTCCTGGTGTTCTCGCCAAAAAGAATCACGGACTTAGTAGTGTTGACCTTTTGTCCCGTCCAAGCACAATAGTTGGAAATAATCTTCTTTAACTCCTTAACCTCTTTCAACTTAGCCTCCGAGAAGATTAAAATGTCATCCGCATAGAGTAAGTGGGAATCTCTAGGTGCTAAATGAGAGATAGAAATACCCAAACCATTTATTTTTAACAATAAAGCATCTGAAAAAATTTGGGAGCATAAAATGAAAAAAATGGGGGATAAAGGGCAGCCTTGCCTAAATCCACACTTTCCTTCAATCCATTCAGTCTTCTTCCCATTGATCAAAATTCAATACTTGGGATTCAAAACACATTGCAAAATAAGTTCCAAAAATTTACTAGGGAAGTTGAAATGAATAAGAGCTTGCCTTAACGTCTGCCATCCCATACTATCATAAGCTTGTTCCATGTCAAGCTTAATGGCTAACATCCCACTTCTAGACTTGGACCACCTGAATTTGTTAAACACCTCATGAGCCAAAAGCACATGATCAGATAAAGAAAGGCCTTTTTAAAAGCCGCTTGGTCCACCGAAATGATCTTATGTATGACTCTTTCTAATCTATTTAGTAGCATCTTCGCAATTATTTTATATATAGTCATACACAACCTGATAGGAAGGAAATGAACATGTTCTTGTAGACTTCTTATTTTCGGGATCAAAACTATCAAGATCACTTTCCAAGACCGATCCATAACTCATGACTTCATGAAATGATCAATCGCTTGCCAAACATCACCTTTAACCATGTCCCAAAAGTCTTTAAAAAATGAAAATGTCACCCCGTCTAATCCTGGTAAAATGCTCCTCACCGAATTTTCCACAACCTCCTGTAACTCCTCCCTAGTAAACTCAGCATCAAGCATAATTTGGTCAACATTACTAATCACAGCAGATGGATTCGGCCACCCATCTAATGAGCATTTTCTATGTTGCCATTTCAACATGAAAAAATCTGAGAATGTCTTCTGGATAACTGCTTCTTCTTTCGAAATAATGCCATCCTTAGTCTTAATATGATAAATCTAGTTATTACTTCTTATAGCATTGCAAAGGTATGAAAAAAAGATGAATTACAATCACCTTCGTCCATCCATCTTGCTTTAGCCCTTTGTCTCCACCAAGTATTGAGTCTAGCCAAAGTAACATTAAGTTCATTAATTTTAAACCTCAAAAGCTGTAATCTATCAAAAGAGATCCACCCTTCATCCTCCTCCAGATGAATTTCCAAAATTTCATTTTTCAATTTATCTCTTAAAAGATTCAGATTCATGAACTTTGCCTTACTCCAGTAAAAGAGACCTTTCAGAGTCCTCTTGAGTTTCAAATTGAGAACCGACGGTGGATCACCCAAGCAGTTTTTAAGCCAAATTCTCTTCACCAAAGAAACAGCACCATGGTAAGATGCCCAGGTCTCTTCATACCGTATATCCCTGCTGCCCTTTTCCACTGGTTTGTAGATGTCCAATAGTAAAGGAAAATGATCCGATGCAATACGAGATAAGTGTTTAACTATCGCAAGATTAATGTTGTTTAAAGCTGAGGAATTAATCAAGCATCTATCCAACTTCTCTAATATTCGGGCATTACCAGATTTATTGTTACACCAAGTGAACCTTGGTCCCATCGATCTCACCTCATGAAGATCATTGATGATCATGAATTTATTAAAGTCCTTCGATCCTTGAGTTAAGCAAAACTTTTACCTCCTCTTTTTTTTGATTGGGACAATACACAGTTGAAGTCTCCACCTTCTACCAAAGGAAGATCAGATGAACAATGCCTCCCAATATCAGCCCAAAGACTCATCCTTTTGTTAGCATCTACACTGCCATACACCGAAGCCACAATCCAGCTGCCTTTGCCATGGACTTCCATCTTTCCCAAAATCATCTGTGAAGAAGATTCAATAACTGAAAAAATTGCTAAGTCATTTCTCCAAATTACCATTATACCACCTGACAAACCAACAGATGGAACTACAAAAGAATCCCAATTCGAGCCCAAAAATTTCATAAGGCAGCTATTGTCCTGAGAGTTAATCTTCGTTTCCAAAAGCCTAACAAATAAAACATTATGATCCTTGATCACCTCCTTAAGATAAAAAACAGCCTCCACCTTCTTGGCTCCTCTATAATTCCAGAATAACAACGAAGTCATTGCTTATTGCTAGCGGAAGGTCCCCCAACCTTCTTAGCTTTTCCACCTTCCATCTTCCTGTTATGCGGAATAATATTACCCAAACCAAGGGATTTCAGCTCTTTGACAAGCTTAGTCTTTTTCTCATTCGAATGGCTTCCACCCGTTAAAATGTTGTTAACAGGCAAATCCTTAGATTTCTTCTGAAAAGCCACTGGTTGCACCTCCGCACCTCTGCCAAAGCCAATTAATGCTAAATCATTGTTGGAAGTAACAATTTCCCCTTCCTCTACATCCTTCACCTTATCAGATTCAAACACATTAACATCATTTGATTCTTCTAATCCAGATAAAACATCAAATTTGTTAAGAATTTCCACAGCAGTGCTGTCACCAGAAATAATTCCCTGTTCCATTTCCTCTACCATCTGAACTTCCACAGCAGGACATTCTTCCAAACAAGTTACATCCGCACCGGTTCTAGGAATAATGATCTCCTTATTATCTTTATCTTGTTCATCTGCCACCTTCCCCAACAATTCCAAATTAGGAATTCCAGATTTAGGAACAAAGACCTTCTTCATGGGAACAGAAAATTTCTTATTAAAAAATCTCCTGTTCATTACAAACCTATTGAACTTTTTCTTCCCATGGTTCACTTGAGTCCATGAGTTACCTTCAACCTTTCCACCTACAATGATAGATTACCCTGCAACCAATTGAGAGACCTTTCCACCATCAACGCCTGTATGAGCAGCCATGTTGGAATCCCTAACCACCTTATTATCCAAATCAGCACATGTTTTAGAAACATGCCCAATTTTCCCACACTCCGAACAGATTATAGATATCCCTTCATATAAAACTTTTTGATAAAATTCTCCTGCTAAGCCCTTCACCCAAACAACTTGTGGAAAATTCAAATCAAGAGAAATACGAACACAGACACGAGCAAATTCCCTCCTACTCCACTGGAACATATTCCCATCTAGAAGATACGTCTTGCCAACTAGCGAAGCAATCCTACAAATATTTATCTCATCCCAACACTGAAGAGGTAAGTTAGGCAGTCTAATCCATACAGGAGATGTAATGCCTTTGAGAGAGGTAGGATTGAAGTTAGCCGACCACTTATCCAAGCCAACAGCCTGCCCTCTAATCCACCAAGGGACTCCTGAGAGAATACTTTCTAAAGCCTTCAGATCTTCAACAGAGCACAAAAACCAGCCAAGTCCTAAAACTGTGAGGTGGAATTTCCCAAATTTATCCCACTGCCTTCTTAAATCTGAGCTTATCTCATGAAATGGAATATTATCCCCAAAGATCTTCACTACAATAGCTTTATCTAATTTTTTAACATTCTCCAATTCCTTTTCAACATGAAGAACAGCAACAATACCATCTTCAGACAAGAAAGAGCCGAGGTCCAGATTACAAACCCTCACATTCGGTCGTTTGTTCCAAGCCGAATTAACCTTCACATTCTCAACCTTATTCACATCTGAATTAGGATTGGCTAAAAAACCTTCAGGCATAGCCCCAGTAAGACCATCTCCTTCTTTAGAGACAAATCCACATCCACATTAATCGCATCCTCAATGTTACCAATAATCAAAAATTCAGAAAGAATTTCATGATTAACGGGTGAAGAAGGCAAAGATTTAGAGAAGAAATCTTTATAAGAATTAAGTTTCCTTCCCGCTGATGAAGAGGCCCCAACACCTCGATTCTCCTCCGCAATGCCATAACCGACTTGAAAGTAATGAATCTCCTTCTTCTGCCGGAAAAGTTCCTCAACTACATCCTTACCTTTACCAGGTACCTAAAAAAGAATCACCTTCTTGTCCAACAATTCGCCTTCGTTTATAATCAACGGTTTTTCTTTCAAACCTTTGAAATTCCGATTAAATCCTTCGAGAACCTTAGAGCCACCATTAAAGACTTCCGATGAATCAAGAATCGGTAAAGCCAAATTCTTCCTATAATTCTTCCAAGCTTCCGTTGGGAGAATTCGTCTTTGCTCCATCAACACCTTCCCGTCCTGCCGGAGCGTCGGTAGATTGCCAGACTACCCAGCCGCGAAAAAGCAAGAACTGTTCAAACAGAATTTTGAATAACCAGACTTTCTCTCTCTAGACTTTCTCTCTCTAGTTACAAGGTTCTTTGACCGATAAAAAATCTTCTAATGAATTCCACAACAACCTCCATTTATATATAGGGTACCCTTTATTAAGTGAGATTTATTAAAAAAATCATAATGGATAATTTAGATCAAACATGATGATTAATTATATACATGAAAAATAGCCACCAAGCATAATTTAGGTAACATTTTAATCTTAAGAGTTCTCATAGAAGGACACATGAGAGTAAGTTGTACCTAGACCATGGATGTTTAAGGCACATTACTGGAGATGCAAATTGATTCAATTCACTGGAGGCCATAATAGGATGAAAGGTGACACTTGGATATAACACCACCAGGAGAGTGGTGGGATCAGATATAATTGGCTATTGAAAAACTTTAATCATTGAAAATATTTTCCTAG